TCTATATATATATATATATAGGTATATCTATATACCATATAGATACACATGCAAAGCGCTTTGACAAAATGGCCGTCTGGCTGAGCCCACAAAAGTTGCACAGCTGTTGGCGACAAATCTACAAGCGTTCGAGTGAAATAACAATAATACACTCAATACACACACATACACACACACGTTTACTACACACACACACACACATATATATATATATGCACAGTTGTTACTTCCGCTTCATGTCGTTGTCACTCTCTGTCTGTTGTGGCATCCTTGTTGTTGCTGCTGCTGCTGCTGTTTGTTTGTAATTTGATGCGCGCTTTTAGTTAATTGTGGCAGCAGGACATGAGCATTGCCTATGCACAATAACTAAGCCCATATGTTGTAGACATACACACACACATAGACAACTGCAAATAGTCGCTAGTTAGAGCATAGGACATGACCGCTTAAGTGACATTTGCCGCAGTTGTTGCACGCCCCCTCAAATCCCCCAGGCAGGCTACATATGCGACTCATATTTCTTGGTTTTAGATAACTCTGTTTAAGTGCCCAGGCAGCCATGTACTTATTTGTTATGTGCATGTGTGTGTGTGTGTGTGTTGTTGTTGTTGTGCGTGTGTGCATGTCGTTTGGATTTTTGGCAGTCGAGTGTGCTTCTGTTGTGCAAATATCTGTATATATTTTAGTTAATTAATTTTCCGGTCAAGTGCTGGCCAATTGCCTGCACATCAATCCCATCATATATTTATATATATATATATAAGTATATGTGCACATAAATTTAGATTTGTCATGTATGTAGATGTGTATGTAAATCACAAACATGTGGCTTGTGGCAAGTAGCATCAAATTTTCACCTGCATGCCTCTATTGTAATTCAGTTAAATTTGATTGCAACACAATTGTGCACCATTTGCAACACCTGGAACACCATGCTTTTCATAACAATTTAAAAGCCGAGATTATGTCCTAATATTTCCAATTAAAGAAATTGCGTCGATTTAATCAACGGGGGAAAAGTTATGTAAATTAAAGTTTTGTTTCTTTGGTTCGCACTGCCAATATTTAATACTAATAATTCCTGAAATGTCATTTTTACAAAATATAATCAATTTTAATCAGTATACGTAACGCATTTGAGAATTTGTATCTTTTGGATACCATTTTGCGTTTAAATTCAGTCATATTTACTTTTACTTTAGCAAGCTTTTCATTTTTATTGAAACTGAAATGTTCTTAATAAAACTCTTTATTATTTGTATACAAGTTGTTGTGGTTAAAGATAGTTTTTATCTTTTTCATTTTGACCTAAATCCCACTCTTAAAACTTTAGAATTAAAACCCGATAAAGAAAATATGCTGAGCTAATCCTGATTATTTTACGCTCGATGAGTTTTAAGTGAATTTCAAACATCTTTTCAACAATACATATTTAATGCGCTTATATAGATTTGTCGTAAACATTTTATGTAATGAATTTTAAAATCATTGCTTTTGTGTATATATATATATATATATAGATGTAGTCAACCCTTGTTATGGGCACAAAATCAGGCCGAAATGTTGAGCTCCACTTAGAGCAGGAAGCTCTTATTATTTATTAAAGCACTTCACAAGTTACAAAATTTAACAAAATTCGCTTGAAAATCTTGTAATTATGCAAGACATATGCGTACATTTTAGTAACTTTTCCAATACGCAAAACAACTACAACTACAGCTGCAGCAGGCATGTAATTGCAAGCCACCCCAGTTCTGACTGAAATACGTTCAATTCAATTGGGGTTAAAACTTATTGAGGCGCAAAATATTCAACAAGCTGCAACAACATCAACAATAACAACAACAACTGTAACAGAAATCGGCTTTGGCTTCTCTTCATCAGTCAGTGCGTAAAAAGGAAAATTAATTGAGCACCATCACCGGCCAAGCATATGCACATACATATATACACACACAGATACACATACTTACATATGTCTGGGCTGCGACGCGTTGCATGTCAATCTGCACACTTGCCACAAATGCCATGCAAATTTATGGAATTTCGCTTCATATAATAATGCAGCACAAGTCGGCCAGAGATGATCAGCAAGTTGTTGTTGTTGTTGCTGTTTTTGCTGTTGTTGCAGTTGCTCTGTTAACATTCATTTAACTGCCTCCACATGCAGCCCAGTCAACCCACTTGACCACTCGCAACAACATGCTGCAACGTGCTATTAGTCATCTTTGGCTAAACGCTATTTGAGTTTTGTATTACAGACTCCCTTTCCCGCCAGCTTTGCTTGAGTTTTTATTGGGCCGCCCGTCGAGTTTGCAACGCAAAGGGAATGCTATGGTACGGGCAGACGGAGAAGTCAGAAGAAGGGGAGTGGCTCGGGTCGCACACTGATTAGCGTTTTGCATGCGAAATGCATAAATCAGCCAGAGAAGTCGACCCACAGCAAGCAGCCCAGTTGCAATTGGTTGTGTCCGCTTGTGGCGACGCTGTTGACATTTTTATTGCCCGAGAAAATAGAATTTTTGTTATATTTTATTATACGAGTATGCGCTCTTTATTTCCCAATCTTCTTCATCTTCCCATTTTGCTGTTGCATTTTGTTTGTGTGCATAAAAAAAGATTTTAGCCTGCATAAATTTTGCGCTTTTATCGCAAATTAAATTGCCTCAAATGTTTCGCGGTTGATGTGGAGATGCAGTTATATAAAATAAATAATAGTCAATAAATAAAAAGCGATGTGAGTGAGGGCGTTTTGGCTTGCACTTAAGCCAAAACCCATGCAATAAAACTTGCATGTTGAAATGAATCACTTAAATAAATAGTTCGAATGCTTAATACTCTGAAATGTCAAAGCAAGATTCATGCTCTTAAAGAATGACAGTCGAAAACAGTGATTTTTTGATCATAGTTTATCCTCTAGATTGAAACATATTTCGTTTCGATTTAAATCTGTAAGTTCAAAGTTTTTGATCTTATTTTTATAGTAATAGTGTTGTGTTCTTGAATTTAATCAGAAAATGCTTGCCAAAAGATATCTATCAGAAGAGCTAAAAGCCAACGCTAAACGTAATAAGGAAAAGAGTTTTACTAATTGGGGCCAAAAGCAACGAGAAAATACTGAAAGACGCAGGAAAAACAGTTAGGAAAAACTGAAATTATGAGCACGAAAAGAAAATAATAATTTTATTTTACTACATCCCCAATCTCCCCACACACACCACAGACTCTGTCTGCTTCCTGCCTTGGATGCTTTCTTAATAGCCGGTAAGATTCTTGGAAATAATATAAAGCATGCGGCGTGGCAAAAACGAAAACCCTTTCGCAGGCTCAGCCTCGGCCTCGGCCTCAGCCACAGCCACAGCCTGCTCCAAAAGCGCGCAAGCGTTGAGCTGTGAAAAGGCACAACAATAACAGCAACAGCAATAACAGCAGCAGCAACAGCTACGACAAGGAGCTGCAGTCAAGTGAAGTGGCGTGTGGCGTTAGCGGCAGCAGCAGCCGCGTCATCATCAGGTTGCTGCTTCTGCTGCTGTTGTGGCAAAAATGCGTTCTACTTAATGTTGCATGCATTTATAGCAAATATTTCCCATGCCCAGGCCCACGCCCGCCTTGGCCAGCCCACAATTGCTAATGATGCAGCAGCATCAAGTCAAGGGTGCACTGAGCGAAAAACGTATCTATAACAAAAAGCGAGGGCGTACGCATGGCATGCAGCTGCCCCGTCCAAACTTTGCATTAGACACAATGTGGCCTAGATTAAAATTTCTGCGAAAATTCTATTACGACTTTTCCTCACAAAAATCGGTGTACGCTCTTGAATAAAAGTATGTCTGGCATAGAATTATCATCGATTTCTTGCGAAAATTATAAGTACAAAAAGTATCGAGCTGGAACCAGCGAATGACATATTCCATGCTCCTGAAGCAAGCACATAATCGCTGGACGCGCTTTAAGTTGTGACTTACTTAACTTACATCAAAAAGTCTAAAATTGAGGAATTTTTAAAGCAAAAAAAAAATCGACATAAAATATGAGTCTCGATCTTTGGACAGAAAATGCTTGCATTTTTTTTTGTCAGTGTACGCGCAGCTGAAAACTGCAAGTTTGCTGCGAGTCTCTGCTGCAGCTGTATTCTTGGCGCTCTCTTGTCATTAAGCTGCGCCACGTTTACAGTTGCTGCCCGTTGGCTGAGGCTCAGGCTCAGGGTCGGTCTTGGCTCAGTCTCTGGCTGGCTTGTCTTGGTTACTGCATTTCGATTTAACTGCTGATAGCTTTTGAAGTTAGACTAAAGTTACGTAGTATACTGGCGCACACTTATCTATCATTATCATCAGTAACATACACACACACACACATATGGCCTGTGTGAGTATCTGTGTGTGATGGCAACTTTTCTATTACATTGTAAACTGCAAACACTTATCATCATCGTCATCTGCAACCGAAGAGAGTCAGTAGTGCGTCCACTCTAATCACTATATGCATCAGCTTGATGGCATTAGTTGGGATGTTGCCTTCTGCTTGCTACTTGCTTGTGCGATGAGCTATGTCCCCGTTTCCCGCCGTTTCCCACCACTTGCCACTACCACTTGAGTTCTTGCTATCTCAGCTGATGATGACTACTTGGCCTGGCAGCTGTTGAGTCTTGGGTTTTGCCCAGTTTTTCTATTTATTTATTTTTTATTTTTTCCTTTTTCTTTCTTTTTTTTCGTTACATCTTCCACTTTGTGTTTAAGTTTTTGCTAATTTTTTGCTTGAGAGTCTTCGTGAAGCCGTCCTTAATTTTTGTTTAATGCCAGTTTGTGTTGCCAAACGCCTGCGGCCTGTTTTTGTATAATCTATTCGTTGTTATAAATTTGCTGGAAAATTGCAATTTGTGTGCAGTTCGTTTGCTGCGCTCGTCGGTGGCGGTATTAAAATAATTTAATTGCTTATTAAATTATATTTCTTACTCATTTTACTTACTTACCCTCTCTCTCTCTTCTTACTTCTCGTTTTAGGTAAGTTTCTGGCTGCATTGCGAATTTGGGATCTGGGCCGCGTCTAATTAGTTGGCTCTGAACTGAGCGCAACTTTATTAACAGCAGGCATCCGAGCTGTGCTGTCATATTAAATGAAACTTACAATATACCGTTAAATTGCCAGGTACGTTGGAAAATTGTTCAGTCAGTCTATAAATGTTTGGGCGAAAAAAAAGAAGTAAACCTGCCTCTGAAGCCTTTAAAGTTAACTGCAACGTGCAACGACTGCCTGCAGCATCCGATTTTGACACAATTTCACAGTTGGGCGGTCGGCATGAATACAAACAACTAAATATGTAGTAGTAAAAGAAAAATAGTTATACACAGTTATGTATTATGCATCCAAAAGTTCTCAGTCTATCTCTCTCTCTCGGTTTATCCCTCTCTCTCCCACTCTCTCTCTCTCTCTCTTGCATTTTCAGATTTTGTATTTCGCATTTGGCTATTTGTAAACAAATGGCGGCCATCCCTTGCAGGCACATGCCTCAATGCACTTTGCACTGGGAAAGAGAGAAAAACTCCATTATTTGTTGTAGTTTGGTTGCCGCAGTTGTGTTTTCTTTTCTTCTTTTTCTCTATGCCCCTTTCAACTTGCAACTGCAACTGGTTTTTTATGCAGGCCCGCACTCTGCAAATCGAAAAAAGGCTTACAGCAAATGTAAAATGTAAACTTGCAAAAAATGGAAGAAAAATATTGCTTGAATAAACTTTGTTTTTCATTTTATTTTTTTTTTTTGCACAGCATGCTCCTCCAGGGCGGAGGTGGTGCCAAATACACCGAAATAATTGTAGTGCAGCATAAACTAAGATTAGTCGATGCTCAAATGGCAAAGTTGGTAAGCGCAGCTTGACTCAACTTGAGATGAGACAGATAATTGAAATTGATTTGATATTATTAGATGCATAGATAAGAAGCTTGGCATAAATTGTATGCTGTGCAATTGGCGCTTATTCAAATTATACAATATTAAACTTATTTAAACTGACGCAGAATTTGTTCAGAAACAGCTACTTTATCAAAACTGCTGACAATACTTCGCTTCTCTATTCACATAGACACCACAAAAAATATAAAACCGAAAAACATATTTTTGAATTTTATCAAAACCATTAAATTGACTTAATTAGTTTAGATAACCTCTTAATTCTGTTCAAAGTTGGTAGCACAGCCTGGTCAACTTAATCGCTATGCCCCCATGACACAAAGGCAAGCGAAGTTCAAAAATCGTGGATTTGAAACTGCAGTAAAAATATGATGCCAAAGAAACAAGGATGACAATCGTTATTCTGCCTTCGTGCCACAAACTGCTTGTGGGCTTTATGGAGTTGGCTGACTGGTGCAACAGTCTGTCCGTTGGCATTGTCTTTGCCAGCCGGCAGCAGCCAGCCGCCACCGCAGTCGACGTAGTTGCAGTTGCACTTGGCGTTGCTTTTGGTGCAGCCGCCTTTTGACCAATACCATGTTGCGCTGTTGCAAGCTGCGTGTTGCCTGTGTGCGCGCTTGTTGCAGCGATATATATTAAAAGCGGCAAACCAACAAACAAAAAACAGAAAAAAACGTAAAAACACTTTAACAAGTTGTGCGCATTGTTGTGCTACATGTTGTACAATAGTTGTACATGCTATTTGCATACATCCAGTTGACCTGATTCCTACTGTGCAGCTTAGCTTAAAAGTTCTCATACAACAAAAAGGTTTCGTTTTTATGTTGCATGCTTTTACATGTGCAACATGCGGTTTTTTTTTGGCAAGCTGTGCTGAATAGTTATGTGTTTTAAACGAAAATATAATCGAAAAATGCACTTTGTCGCCAGTGCCTCAAATTAGCAGCAGCCAACCCAATCAAAGCCAGTGAAGAGACCTAAACAAACATTGTGGAAAGTGTCAACAATTCGGAATGTGTGTTCAGACTAAGCATTTGTGCAAATATTTTTGATAAACTGATTTGAAGACACGTTTGGGGTGCTGCTAATTTTCTATGACAAAGTAAAGAAACAACAACAACAACAACGAAACAACAACAATATGTAAATAAACAACAACTGCAAATGTTGACACCAAACATGAATTCTTCTTTTTGGTGTACGCAGCAGAAACACAGCAACCACCGAATTGTTGAAATTTGTAATATCTTCTTAGCACTCCCTCTTTTGCCTACTACGGACTACCCCTAGTGAAATAAATAGTACGTGCAACTGATTTTCAATACCCAATGTTTGTCTGTGCGTCTTTCTGTCCAGCTGCTGTGGCCGTGTCCAAGCCATCAATACTTGTCTGCGGCGCTAATGCACAAATCCTTTTGCACCCCGCGTTTCTCGTCGACTTCATTTATTTTCTGTTTAACAACATTTAGGGATTTCCATGCATTGTTCGTATTGCTCGATTCCAGTTTTGCACACCCCAAAATTATACCAAAAGGGTAGGGGTGCAGGGGAGAGTGGATGATTAACAATTTATTGTGCGCATATACCCTTGCCAAATAGTTATTAGCCATTTGTCGCGGCGTTTGTAATGCTGAGGAAACAAATCAAGACATGCTTTTCGGCTTTGTTATAATCGTGTTATATTTATGACTAGGTATTAGGATACCTATTTTTTAAATTATTTGAACATTTAAAAAAGACGAAGATATTTTTGAAAAATATTATTATAAAACAATAAATGTATTACTTTCTATTATAAAGAATATTCACAATAATTTAATTTGAATCACTTTTCGTTTATTCTTAATATTTTATTTTAGTTACGAGAGTGTATTTTATTTCAATTTTATTTGAAAATATAATACAAGAAGACCCATTAAAATTTGTGAATAATATTTAAAGGATAATATTTCTCATAAGTATATAAAAGATATTCACATTTTTATATTTTTCACTTCAATTTGGGTTAACATTTGCATTTCTTTAGGAAAGTGTATTTTTTCTTCGAATTTTTCGAAATTTGTTAAACTTTCGATACTTATTTGGCTGTTGTGCGTCGTTATTGTTTCAGCCCTCGTCAACTAATCCCTTTCAAGTGCGCTGCCAACGCGCAAAGACCTCTTTAGGCTCGCAATAATAACGCTTTGGCCTTTAATGATTTGTCTATGGATTAATTCGGCAACCCTACAACATTTAGATACCTTATTTATTTGCTCTGTTGCTTAACTGACCACAAGCGAAATTTTTTCGGGCAGGCCTAAAATATTTTTTAATTTTATTTACAACAAAAAACAATTGAACTTCTTTTTGGAGTTCGACGGAGTTGCGTTTCAGCAAATCAAAACTAAAAAAGTCAATTTATAGCACGAGTCCAAGAGGAGGAAAAGTCACAAAGCCAAAAGGCCGGGACCGAGACTGGGACCGGGGTTAGGGCCGAGGGCCGCATCAAGTTGCCAATAAATCCGTAACGAATCCTTTGTCGAAGCGGCAGCAAGTACAACAACAACAAGAAGAGAGAAATGAACGGTAACACGAAAGGATCTACGCTTCAGTGCATTTCTGATGGACGTATCCGAGCGTAGCATATTGATGGCAACTTTTGCGCATTTTACGGATATTGCACAATTCCCTTTTAGCCCATGAGGGACGAAAGCGTTGACTTTTAACATAGACAGAGACAGGGAGAGAGAGAGAGAGATAGATAGAGAATGAGAGAGAGCATAAGTAATGTAATATAAAATCAGTAAAAATGATTAATTACACAAGGCGCTGAATAAAAAAGCGGGGCGTGAGGCGCTGTTTTGGTTGTTCTTGTTCTTGTTATTGTTGTTGTCGTTGCTCGAGCACTCTAGCATTTTTTTTGGGTGCCGCTTGTTTGATTGTTGCACAGGCAAAACACTTTTAATTGGCTTTTGAGCCATCGACAAAGTTGGCAACGGACATTGCCGGCTAATAAAGATTAATTGTTTTTTAAAAGCAAAAATGCTCGCAATGCATGTAGTAAAAAAGAAAAAAAAAATAGTAACTGTAGACAGTCAGGATATGCCAGTTTATCTATGTCAGCGCACCACAACACCACGCACTCAATTGGAAGATTAAATGCTAGCCAACACCCGCTCTTCCTACCACCCCCCCCCACACCCCTCCCCAAACGTCCTGGCCTGGCCGTTGCAGACACTTCAGTTGGGGCCGCCATCGACGACAACGGCGACACTTTAATTTTATGTTTTTACCATTGCCATACAATGTGTTATTGTTATTGTGTGCTCATATGCGTGTATGTGTGTGTGTGTGTGTGTGTGTGTCCTTGATGCTACAACCCACATAGCCACAAAGCTACGTGGCGGCTACCGTTGCCCTCCAGGCCAGACCAAGCCAGGCAAGCCAACGAGCCATCCGCATTGCGATTCAAATACGCCGCTCATCCATTTTTGCGTATGAATTGCAAAACGCCGCACATATTTCAAGTTATTGTTTGCCAGGCTGAAACTGAAACTGCGACCGTGATGGGAATGGGATCGGAGAGGGGAAGGATCGGTATTGGGTGCCAGCAGCAGGAGCAGCAGGTAACTCAGCCTTTACCCTTCAGGCCTGAGCTTGTGGCTATAAGGTTTTGTCTTTCGCTGTGTGTGTGTGTGTGTATGGTGTGGTGCCTCTGCCGTTTCAAGTCGTGCCACACATTTGATATATGTTTTGGTGTCGAGCATGAGTTAACTGTGTCACAGGCATCGTAAATTTTCGCAATGTTGCAGCAAGTAAAAAGACGGCAGGAAGAGCGGCCGGCTGGGGGAAAACTGTCGAAGCCCTCTGCCAGAGTTGAACTGCTTTTGGGGGTCTCGCTCTGAGTGAGTGCATTGAAATTGCTAGAAATAATCGTTAAATGATGAAGTCACACACACTCACACACATACTTGCAGTTATATGAACTCGTGCTGTCTGCCTGATTCCAAATAATGATATATGGTATTTTTGGGGGGCACAGCAACAATTTTTGGGTGGCTGCCTTAAATCAAAATTTTAAGTGAGTTGTGTGCAACGTTGAGATGCGTCTTCATTAGCATTCGCCACGTGTTGATTAATGTGCGTCTAAGTGTACAACAAATTTTACAGAGAGAGGGAGTGTGACATTGATAGACAGAAAAAATGAGAGCGAGAGAGAGAGAGAGAGAGAGAGAGAGAGAGAGAGAATGAGAGAGAGAGA